CAATCAGCGATCAAAGGCGGAACGGCATCACCAACTACGACAAGTCGCTTAGCTCAAACTGTGCGTGGGATATGACAGCTGAAGACATCGCGATAGTGTAAATCATTAAGAAAGTTTCCTGCAAAAGCTAAAAGAAAAGCCAACCGTACGCGGCACATCGGTGGTATTATTATTATTAATAATAATAATTAATGATATTAAGTTGTTTATATATATATATATATGTTGTTACAGCGCCAGACTCTGCTTCCTGTAACGGACACACCAACGTGATCGCTGATAGCAACACAAAGTTACCCTGTAAGGTCAACTCAGTGCAGCTCGAAGAGGATGTGTAAGTTAGGCGTTGACCTGAGAGGTTAAAAGGTCATAAAGCTGGAGTCCCCCTCTCTCTCCCTCTCTCTCCCTCTCTCCACCGGAGCTAACACGCTAACCCTCACTCAGCGGCCTGTTGAAACCATTTGACCCCTGTCTAAGTTTAGCTATACAGCCCGTGTGGCTACAGCTCGCAGCGAGCAGAGAGCAGTTCAGTCTCAGCATTAATCTGATGGCTGTTAATAACGGTTAACCTTAAAACAACGTGCTCGCGTGCGGCTCAAGCTGGCCGTAAAACCAGTGTGACGGCACGCCGCTACATTACCAAGGCAACAGTATCTAAACGGCTGTTTGTCAGTTCACATGATCAGCTCGTTGCTTCTGTTTACCTGTTGCGGGTGGACAGCACTCCCAGGGACGGGGAAATGTTCCCCAGACAGTAGATCACCTTGTTTGACTTGAGCAGGGCCATCGTTGTGCTGCGTGTGGGAGTCGAGCCTGGTAGGATGTGGACGGATGTGAAGGGCAGGCACGACCGCGACGCCACGCTACGCTCTCAGTACGCGCTGACGTCAGAGCACGTTTGGTACAGCGTAGCCTTCACTGAAGAAGACCCGTGAACCTGAGATTATAATCTTACTGTTAATCCTTAGACTGGTGTGTGGGGTGGAGAGGAAACACACACACACACATACATCAACATATCTCTTATACACTACAGTCTTATTTTAAATTGGATAAATCTACATCTTCTACAACTTCTTCAGGATAATTCATAGCCAAAAAAGACCTCCAACATCATCACATATGCCCAAAGCAAATAGAGAAACACAGTGAATATCACACACAAGAACAAAATACAAAATAATATAAGGGTCAAGTTAGAAAATAGGAAAACAATTATAATAAATATCCCATAAAAAAATGTGTGTGCCTGGTGTCTGGTAGTTTCAAGTGATCACCAACCTGACGGTGGTCTTTTTAACTGTGATATGGCAAAAGTTGATTTGTGTGTTTGTTTTAAAGCCAGTGGACCTGAATGTTTGCTGCCCAAGTGTGCAGATGCAGCACAGCTGTTTGGAGTGACAAACACAATTTTTATGGTCATGTATACTTTTTTATGGGATGCTTGCTTTTCCCTGGCAGTAGCATTCTGCAGTTACTTGATTTGTCCACTTGAGGGCAATATCACACAACAGTCATTATTTGAGCTGTATAGTTGGTCCACATATGTTAATCTACCAGTAGTCTTCAATTATCTGTGGCCTTGCTGAGTGTTGCAAGACATGGAAAATGAAATGGCTGGGCAAGGACAATTTGAAGGATAAGACAATTAAGAACTATTATCACTGATTTCCTTTTCCTGTTAGCCTGTGTGCTGGTTCATCCAACCTCCCACCAGATGGAGACCTTCTCTACATTTTCTGCTCATCAGCAGTCACTGTTTCTTGTGTTGATTTTAATTATTGCATTTTTATTTAACAAATTAGAAGAAGAATTATTCCAACCTTAAATAAACAATGTTATCTTCCACCGGTGTAAAATAACTGAATGTCTAAGCGTGCCTCTGCCTAATGTTACTGCTGCATCAAGTTGAGGTTGGCATGCTTTTCAGAAAAGTTAAGAAGAACAGCAACCTCAGTCAGTCTGTGTAGAAGAAACAGAGACCTGGAGGAACATCACACAGCAGAGCCTGGAAGTTCATGAAATATTTCGTCCCACAGCTAGACAAACAGCTCACTGGCACCCTAACAGAGTGACTGAGCGGGACATCAACTTGGCTTGCATGTTGGGCTGTGTGGAGGAGATTTGGACTGTGTGGAGGAGATTTGGATATTTCCAACATACCACTTCAACATCATGTCAGGAAGAATGATTTTTACAATAGAACTGAAATCGTTCATACGTCCCTACTTAAACCACTCTGTGGAAAGAAAGTGATGACGAGCAATAGGAGGTTGAGAAGCAAACAGAGCAGAGCTGAAAGAGTCATTCAAATGAAAGAGCTGCAGAAAAGCAATAAGAAAGAAGTGTTACTGACAGTAATGCTGAGTGACGTTTCACAGCTTCTTTAATACCCATTGTCTGTACTGTCCTTATACTGTTTTTTCTCTATCCACTTTGCTGCTGTAAGATTGGAATTTCCCCAT